ATCGCGCCTCCCAAAACGATTTCAAAACGACGTCGTTTTGAGAGGCGCGCGTCGCACAATACTACGCGCGCCGTAGTGTAGGGTATAACGATTGAGCCTCCTAGGAGAGACTATCTAATCCTTAAATTAGGCTTATTCCTGGCATCAGAGTTGAGCTGATTGTCTAACTCGACTGGAGCAATATCCAAAATAATGAGTGTCCTCCAGTCAACGGTTTGACCCAAGTTAGCAAGCCAATCAACACACTGGGTCCCCTTTCTAGCAATATAGGAAATCCAAAACCTGTGAAATCTTTGGCAAGAACAAAACAATCTTTAATCAAAGTCACGGTTGTCTCGTCCCGGTTGTCCTCCCTATTCATGATGGCTACCAACGCTGCTGAATCCATTTCCACCCAAACTTTGTTGAGTCCTCCTCTCAATTCAAACAGAGAGGTATAGTAGACCTTCCCTTAGGCCTCACAGTTCAACTGAGAAGCTATTGTGAGGCGAACCTTAGTAGTTAGTAGCAAAACCCTTAACCCAACTGCCTCTCTCGGATGAGGCCCCCAGCACTGGCCAGACCTGTATCAGCTTGACCCAAACCGGGATGGGAGGAAGCCAACTGACCCAAGTCCATTGGCTATATATTCTGGATCCCACTATGCTTCACGATGAACATCTTTGCCTCATTAGCAAGGACTAAGGAGGTGTGCCGACTGCACCACATGTTGTTCCATTCCTTGCCTTCCGATCCATAGCATCCACAGAATGTAAAGAAACGTGGAATTCCAAGGAGATCCGTCGACCATCATATCGTATAGTAGCAGCTTTGCTTTGATAGTTGGATTTAATCCAATCTTTCATCGGCGTGTAAAGAACCAGCTCCGTTCCACCGTGCAACTTAGCAATCTCCCAGCAGTCAGTTGCAAATGGACATTCCCGGAAGAGATGATCGAGAAGCAGACTCCTCATCGACTCCGATCCGCATCTTGAGCAAGAATCGTGGTTCGTCAACTAACTTACGCCTTTTCCTTTCAATTCCGCGTTTGTACGTGAAGGTCGTTTTGACTTTTTCCACACAGCTAAGCTTCCAAACCCAAGTTCAGTTATCGTCCACCGTTGTGTTGCCTGCAATCAGAGAGTAAGCAGAACTCACCCAAAACATACCTGAAGTTCAATCGCCTCTTCGACGGGGATGGATGGTATAGCTCGTATTTTATTGATGAAGTCATCTGGCAGTACGTCGTGCATGGGCTCCAAATCCCAGTTGCGCCCCTTCGAAATGAACTCACTAACCTTTTTGTTGTAAACATTGTCTGGGATATATGTCTATCTATCCCCATTTCTAGTCCAAGTGGTTTATGCTGAGTGTCACCGTGACTCGTGACTTCACTCTACTCAGGGCGCATATATCATAGGAATGTCCAAATCAAGTGATGATTTCAACACCACTGTAAAGATATATTTCAAAGAGCTACAACTTCTATGACAAAAACAAAGTCCAAATCTAACATCTACAAGGTGAAAATTGACCTAGAAACCAAAACTACTAAGCAGAGTGGACGATTACGGTCCCAGTCATGGTGTGAGTGTCACCGTGGCCTCTGATCTGGAACTTGGGAGCTATGCTAAAAACTCACGATGGGTGTCACTTTTACTACTATAATGACCTAAATCATTTTCAATAATTAAAAGCATAATTAAAATATTATGTCTTGTTCTAAATAATCAAAATAAGATTAATTAAACAAAAAAAATAAAGAAAAAAAAAACTTAATCTATATTTGTTTTAAAAAATACAATAAAATGATTTTCAAAATTTCTTATTTATAATAGAGTTAATTCCACCTGAGGTCTCTTGTCTTTGGTGGCAATTCTAAATTTAGTCTCAGACTATCGTTTTTTCCATTTAACATACTAGACTATTAGTTTTGGACATTTTTAGTTATTTTCATGACTTTTCCTATTTTAAGCAAGTGAATTTTTGTCTATTCGTATTTTTCTTTTGTTATTTTTCCTATTTCAACCGGTTTAATTAGGGGTGTAAATGAGCCGAGCTGCTCACGAGTCGCTCGTGAGCGGCTCGGTCAACGCTCGGCTCGAACTCGGTCAAAATCGAGCTCGGCTCGAGCTCGAGCAGCTCGTGGATTAAACGAGCACGAGCCGAGCTTAGGTATTGTAGGCTCGTGGCTCGACGAGCAGTTAGCGAGCCTTATAATATATTATATAATATATAATATATAATATAATTATATTATATTTAGTATATAAAAATAGTAATTAGGGGAGGGAAATTAAAATACTTTAATAATTATGTATGGATAAAAATAATAAAACAAAGTAGTTTAAATTTTAAATCAAACGGGTCAAATTCGAGATCAAAATTGAGCTCAAATTCGAGTCTAAACTCGAGCTCGAATTCGAGCCTGAACTCGAGCTCAGGTTATGGCTCGAATTCGAGCTCGAGTTTGAACAATCGAGCTGCTCGAGCTCGAGCTCGAGCTCGAGCATCAGTTCACAAGCTCGAACGAACTCGAGCTCGAGCTCGAGCAGTGCTATCATTAACGAGCACGAGCATGAGCCTACCCAAGCTCGGGCTCGGCTCGGCTCGTTTGCACCCCTAGGTTTAATTGGTTTAAGACGTTAATAAAAATCGGTTGAAAATATGGTTACTAATAATCAGAGGTTATCTAAAATTCTAAACCAATTAGTTCGGGTGAAATCGAAAAAATAACAAAAGAAAAATATGAAAAGATAAAATTGTCCTTACTAAAAATAGAAAAAGTCATGAGAATGACTAAAAGTGTCCAAAAACTAATAGTCTGGGATGTTAAATGCCAAAAACGATAGTTTGAGACTAAATTTGGAATTGCCAACAAAGACAAGAGACCTTTGGTGAAATTAACTCTTTATAATATTTGATGTTCAACTTTGAATGCTATGTATATAGTCTAGCAAATTAATTGACCAAAGTTCATGTTAAATTTTATATTGTATATTTTTAACACACTCTAACATATTCAATTCATAGTATATGTTCAACAATTATACCAATTATGCAGCCTTAAATCTCTAGGTCATCTGACCATCCAAAAGAGGTGCCTACAATTCAGCGAGGGGATTAGTCACTGTGTTCCACGGTGGAAACCCGAGATATACCCAAAAAATAAAAAAAGAACAACAATTATACAAACTATGATTAGGATGGGGTACGGTTCGGACCAAAGACCTTCCTTATGAAAATCATTAAGTAAGTTAAGAATAATAAAATAGTTAATGGAATATCCCGTTACTAAAATTTATACTGACGGAATGCGGGGTATAGTAAATAATATAATAGAGGGTAAAGTAAGAAAAAAAAATTACTAAAATCAAAATAATATGAACCATTAATTTTATCAAACAATTGGACCAATATTTATTAGTTCCCGTTATAGGCCTAACTTTATTGCTTCTTATTAGATTTGTGTGTGTGTGTGTATTGGAGGGGGGGGGGGGGGAATGGTTAATGTCCAATATTTATACTTAAATAAATATTTAAAAGTATATTAATGCAATATTATATAGGCGAAGTTCATACATAGGCATGGTTGCAGTAGGCGCTGGGCGCTAGTCGGGCGCCCGGGCAGCGCCTAGCGCCTAAGCGGCCTAGTCGGCGCCTAGGCGGAATCTAGGAGGCGCTAGGCGGTCGCGAAAAAAATAGTAGCAGACTTGCAATTTGACAATTTTAATGAGTCTGTTTTCAACATTCAATCAAATAACACATCCAAATAAATGAAATAATGACAATACATAAGTCATAACATCAAAAGAATATTAAAAAAATAAAAACTCAAATGAAATACCCAAATACTTCAATCATCCAAAGATTGAAAGTATCAAACTAGTCTACGAGTGTATATATGTCATATTATATGTATTTGTCATATAAATGGAAAAAATTAGCAAGGTCGAGTTGGTCAGGTTAACTCGACAGAAATTGACGAGTTAACTCGGCGTAATCGGACGAGTTAGGCGCTAGGCGGCTGAATTAGGCGCTAGGCGGGCGCCTAGGCGGCCGGTCTCCTAGGCGGGAGCCTAGGGCGGAAATCGCCACGGCCTATGGGCGCCCAGCGCCTAGGCGCCGATTACTCGGTGCCTAGGCGGGATTTTTACAACCCTAACATAGGTAATTGAATGTCAAATTTGTTTATTTAAATATGTAACTTAAAGTATATGAATGCAAGATAATATAGGAAATTCATTATAATTGTCACTAAAATAAATGTTTGCAACTTTGTAAAATCAAAAAAATACTTAGTCTAAAAACGATAGTCTAAATAAATACTATTTTTTGTTTGAATTTTTCTAAGTGTTCTATTGCCTTACATTGACAGTTTTAATAATGAGTTTTAAATGTAGTTACGTAAGATAATGATATAACTAACATTTACATATTATTATCAACATAAAAACATACCAGTCCGTTAGGTGTTCTGCTCAGGGTTCATTTGGTTCAACCATTATTGTTGAATGAGTTATTGTGGATAAAGAAATTCATAGTTTAAGAAATAAGATTATAAAGTAGTAAAAATTTGAACATTTTAAATATAATGTAGTCTAAAGATATTACGAGTAGGGGTGTCAATGCGGGCCGGCCGCCCCACTGCGGGCTTTTTTTTCTATGGGTTTTTGCGGGCTAGCCCGCGAAACCCGCGGGTTGGGAACTACCAAGCCCTAACCCGCCCCACTCGGGCTTGCGGGCCCCACAGGCTGGCCCGCGGGCTTACGATAAATTAATAAAAAAATAAAGTCAACTATATATATAATATATAATATAATAATGGAAATAAAAGCATTCAATATTCTAAAAGTTCACACTTCACAATCTATCAATTCACAAATCCATAATCATAAAAATTCAAAACACATCAAAGTCCAACATCATTAATAAAATATAGTGTCTTAAAATCCAAACATAACAAATAACAACAATATTGTCTTCAATTCAATCCACTCTTCAAGTCTTTAAATTAGTGTCTAAGTAATGATAGTGACCTCTGAAAATTCGGATAGAACTGGGACAATTTCTTCAACACCATTAATCTCATCATCATCTATACATTAACATCATTTCAAATAATCAAAACATAATAAGCATAATAATTGAATCATAAGGAAATAAAAAAATTTGAATCAAAAATCAAATTTACCATGATCTGGGGGTTCAAAACCGCGTATCCAATTGCGAGCACAAAGCAATGCTTGAACGTTTGAAGGAAGCATACAATTTCGGTATTTGTTCAACACACGACCTCCTATACTAAAAGTTGATTCCGATGCCACAGTAGTGATAGGAATACTTAATATATCGCATGCCATGTAAGATAACTCACCGAAGCGATGCCTATTTTCCTTCCAATAGTTCAAGATATCCATATCAGCAAACATCTTCATGTCCTTCTGTGGTTCATCCAAATACAAATCCAATGTTGATTTTCCATTATCAACATCATCTTGGTTACAATATTGAACAAACTCCTATATCATTTATAAGTATAAAAATATTAAAAAGTGTTATAACAATATATAATAAAAGAATAACAAAGATGACATAAACATAAAAACTTACCTCAATCATTTCATCACTGGTTTCTTCTATTATTGCATTTTCACATGGAGGAGTGGATAAAGTTGAAGAACTAGGGGGCACGGTCATAGTCTTGCTTTTATATGCTTCAAAGAGCATATACAACTTGCTTTTCACATAATCCGACTTTTGCTTGCAAGTATTTGGATCCAATTTTTTGAAGCAAAAGTCCAAAAGTTTAAATTTCATCCTTGGATCAAACACCACTCCCATAGCAAGAATAACACTATATTGTTCCCAATATTTTTCAAACTTCAGTCTCATGCTACTAGCCATGTTTCTAAGAACCACATCTTCATTATTCAAATTTCTTTTCAACAAAAGCTCAATTTTCCAAACTTGCATGAAATATAAGTTGGAAGTAGGATAAGTTGAACCCGAAATCAATTTTGTAATTTCATTAAAAGGCATAAAAAATTCACAAATCTTTTCACCCCTAGCCCACTCCTCATTTGAAGGACAATGTTTATAATTTGTGTCAAACAAGTGAAGACTACTAAAAGCACGTCGGTACTTAATAGCACTATCAAGCATCTTATAAGTTGAGTTCCATTTAGTGGGCACATCCGTTGACAAACCAACTTTAAGTTGAAGACCAACTGTCTCAACACATTCTTCAAACACTTTCATCCTCCCCTCTGACCCTTTAACATATTTCACACTATCTCGAATTTTATTCAAAGCATCACCCATCACTTTCAACCCATCTTGCACGATAAGATTCAATATATGTGCAGAACATCTCACATGAAAAAATTCTCCATTACACAGCAAATCATTTTGCAAACAAAGTTGTCTTTTCAAGATATTTTGCATACTATCGTTAGCAGAAGCATTATCCAAAGTAAGAGAAAACAGTTTTTTCTCTATTCCCCACTCTTCAAACAATCTAGAAGCTTCTTAGCTAACTGAATACCCGTATGTGGGGGAGGCATAGCACAAAAGGATAATATCTTATTGTTTAACTTTCAATTATTATCAATATAATGAGCAGTCAAACAAATATACCCCTCAACTGTGCATGCTGTTCAAAGATCAGAAGTCAAACAAATTCTACTAGGAATTCTTTTCAAGATATTCTTCAGTTTCTCTTTTTCTCTATCATAAAACTTATAAACATCTGCTGTTGTTGTATTCCTACTTATGAATTTGTAATCAGAATTCAAATACTTGTGCAACTCTCTAATTCTCTTATATTCAACAAAAGTATACGACAAGTCATGTTCAATGATACTCATACTTATCATCTCACGAACCACATTATGATCAATTTTTTTGGCACACAACTTTCCTTCATGATCAATTAACATAGAACTCACATCATTATATTTAGGCTTTACTTTGCAAGAAGCTAAATGACGGGATAGGGTAGATGTTCCATATTTGTGTGCCCCCGTCACATAATCCTTATGACAATACTTGCATTTAGCCATTTGTTTATTGTTACTATGAATTATATCAAAATGATTCCACACATCTGAAGTAAGTCATCTTTTCGTACCTCTTTCTTGTGTTTCTAAATTTTCAGTTTGTTTTGAAGGTTGATGTGAATCTGGTCTGTCCCCCACATTCGGCATATTAACTTCACAATCAACATTAATATTAGTGTTTGGAGAACATTGTTGTTGAGATGATAATGTATCCATCTCCCTGACATTAAAATAACAAAATATATTTAGTTTAAACTATAACAAAATATATATAATACAAAGAAAAGTTTTCAGACTTAATGAACCAATGCAGTGTGTGTAAAAACTGTGTTTAGAGACAAATCAGACAATATTTTAAATTCTAATTAGCAACTAGCAATGTAGTTCTATTGCTTATTAGCCATTCAATGAAGAATAAGAGATTTGTAATTAAAAATTTGAATGTCAGTGAATTATGTTTCATAATTTTTAAATTCTTTTTCATTCATCTTCGGCTTCTTTGTTGTTTCACTATTAATTTTTAAATAATGGAATAAATTAGAATTAATCAGTAATCAGCCTAATTAGCAACTACTCAACTAGAAAATAGATGTAGATGTATTAAATCTTTATTTAAATTTATACCTTGAGTAGAGGAGAATAGGAGACGGTGGCCGGAGACGCGTGGAGGAGTAGAGCAGTGGAGAAGTGCCGTCTTGGCTGCGTGGTGGGCTAGTGCGGTGGTGCCTAGTGGCGTCAGGCGTGCCAACGTGGTGAACTGAAGGCGAGACTGCGAGAGAACTGAAACTGTGAAAGAAATAAAGAATTAGGGCTTTACCGAGCAGAGAGAAAGAGACGGCCAGAGAGAAGTTTGACTAGTTGGCATAGGTTTTAATTTATAGATATTAATATTAATCATATTAGTATTAGTATTATAATTAGTTAGTATTATAATATAATAATAATAATAATAATATATATATCTATAAATTTTTTTAAAAAAAGGGTCTGGCCCGCTACCCGCGCGGGCTTCGACCCGCCGTGGGCCAGGCCCGTTAGGCCCGCATTTTTGTGGGTCACTTTTCTTACCGCCCTAACCTGTCCCACCGTGGGCGGGTGCGGGCCAACCCGCGGGTTTCGACCCACTTTGACACCCCTAATTACGAGGTAGTTTCTCACTTCAATTTGTTAGGTTAGTTGAATACTGTCTTTGTCAACAAATCTCCAAAGTAGTAATATGATTGGTTTCAAATTTTTTTTTATTTATTTTTTCATGGTATTAATAAAATACTTGGTAAATAAATACTCCGTATATAACATTACCAAAAAAAATTATAACTTTGATATTTAATTACAAGATAGTGTAAAAAGAAGGTAATGGACAATGTAATGAATATCAATTGATGAATTTGAATATAAAGAATCTTTACATACATTGGAGAAAATAAAGACAATATAATTAATGAAATTATTTCTCTTATTTAATTTATTGATAATTGATAATGAATAATTTTTTTTTTAAATAAATTGATTGTAGACACATAATTTTAAATTAAAGCATTTCATATTTATCATTTTTTTTAGTTAGCTACTAATTTATTTAATTTAATAAGAATAAAATAGAGTGTGGAACTTAATTATGCCAACTTTGATTAGAATGGGGTTCAAACCTAAGACATTTATTATTGAAATGAATAAGTTAACAGAGAATATAATTTTTAACGGAAAAGTTAACGGTGTGTGGGTATTTAAAGCGAAGAAAATCATATAATTAATGATAAATTTTGAAATCTCAAAGAAAAAATTAAAATCTGAGCAATCTGAATCATTCATTTTGTTTAATAATTTGACCGTCATTTTTTCTACCCATATATATATATATTGGTAGGGAATATCCCGACCGACATAGCTTCACCACGACCGAGGAGCCTTTGTCTTTTCCTCTTTGTCTTTGCAGGTAACAGGTCGGGCTCCTTGAGAAGAACCCGGTCGGCCCCCGACCGGGAGTTGCCCGAGCGACGGTGTCGACCGCCGAGCGGTAGCCCTTTGGCGAGAGAGCTGACGAAAGACACGTGGCGATTCTCTACGACGACAGACAGGGCACCCGGGAGGGCGACACGTGGTGGCTACGTGGAGGGCATGCCGAACGGCTGGAATCCTGTCCCCGGCATAGCGGCTATAAATACCCCCAGTAGCTACAGTGGGAGGGACTTTTGGACGATCGATAGGTTGTTGTTAGAGAATCCCGACCGCAGTCAGTCGGTACTCAGAGCAACCAAGTAGATTGTACTTAGGGCCTTTACCGTGATCAATAAAGATATTTACTTGCTTTGATTGGTCTCGTGTTGTTATATATTGCTTACGTATAATTAGCAGTATCATTTTGGCGCCGTCTGTGGGGACCCGTGCAAGAAGCCAACGTCTTGACGAGCACCCGATCAGTATATCGACATGTATCCGTGGGCACACAACAACTTTGCCGACGACCAGGCGGATGCGGCGAGCTCCTCCGACCACTATGCTACCCAACAGCAGGGTCAGACAATGGACCTCAACCTCAACCTCTCACCACCGCATCCATCAAATGCATACCCGGCCGCCCAGCAGCCGGTGAATTACATACAACCGGGATACCCAACACCCGGTCTGCCATACCAACACCAGCCGATGATGTATCCCGCCCAGTATCCATACCCGGTCCCACCCCCACCGTATGGGTATTGGCCAGGCCAACCGATGTGCTACACTCCCCCGGTTGGTTATCCACCATATACGCCAGCTTATACAGCTCCAGCCGCCGCCCCTCCAGTACAACCGACCGCACAAGTAGAGCCGCAGCGTCAGTCCGCATCCCGGGCTCGACGCTCGGCTCATTCGCGGTTGGGGTCGGGGGGTGCTGATGCGATGGAGGCACCAGCTCAGGCCATTCAAGCGGAGGACCCTGAAGAAGTTGCCCGAGCGGTAGCTTTTGATCGTCTTCGACCGGAGATGCGCCAGCGTTTGGGACCCCAGGACCCGAACCACGGGCAAGAAGACCCCAGGACCCTAACGGGGTCGGCGTGGTCCGTGGCGATGTCCAATCCGCCCGGAAGTGTTACACCCGAGCGGTCAATAGGCGTGACTCCGGTCCATCTTCCCGGGTGAACACCATAGCCAAAGAGGAGGCTAAGGATCGGAAGGAACAGCCTGAGCCTTCTGAGAAAATTGAAGAAGTTCCCATGTCCGAGGACCGCCCGGACAGGAAGATAAAGATTGGTCGAGCCCTCACCCCCGAGATCCGAGCGGAAGTTCTGGCCGTGCTCTGGGAGTATGCTGATATCTTCGCGTGGGGGCCGGAAGATATGCCCGGGATTGATCGTTCGGTCATCTGTCATAAGCTAGCCGTCGATCCCGCAGCAAAGCCGGTCGTGCAGAAGACACGGCACCTTTCCTCCGATCGCCGCGAGTTTGTTAGAGAAGAAGTCAAAAAGATGGCGGCGATCGAGCACATCCGTCCGGTAGTCTATCCCGAGTGGGTGGCAAATATCGTTCTTGTTCCTAAGCCCCCAGCATGGCGGATGTGTATCGATTTTACGGACCTCAACAAGGCCTGTCCGCTCGACCCGTATCCTCTACCGAGCATTCACCAGATGGTCGACGAGACGGCCGGGGCCGAATTAATGAGCTTCATGGATGCTTTTAAGGGGTACCATCAGATCATGATGCACCATGAAGACGAGAGCAAGACAGCCTTCGTGACCCCGGATGGGCTGTATTGTTACCGAGTGATGCCGTTCGGTCTCCGGAACGCAGGAGCCACCTACCAGAGGATGGTCAACATGCTCTTTGCCGATCTATTAGGCCGAACGATGGAAGCCTACATCGATGACATGCTGGTCAAGAGTCGGGACCGATCCGACCACACTCGGGACCTTCGGGAGTGCTTCCAGATCATGAGGAAGTACCAGTTGCGGCTGAACCCGACCAAGTGCACGTTCGCGGTTCAGACCGGCAAGTTCCTCGGCTATATGATGACCAAGAGAGGAATCGAGCCTAACCCGGCCAAAGTAAAAGCGATTCTGGACATGCAGCCACCTTCCACCGTTCGGGAAGTCCAGCAATTGACCGGTCGGTTGGCAGCCCTCAGCCGGTTTCTCTCCAAGCTAGCCGAGCGCGGTTTACCTTTCTTCAAGGTATTGCGGAAGGTTAATGGATTCGTCTGGGACGAAGAATGCCGAGCGGCTTTTGATGAGCTGAAGGAATATCTCATGTCACCGATCGTGCTCTCAAAGCCCGAGCTCGGAG